GTTCAAGTTCGAACCCCCTGATTGGGTATGAAAGTTTTAAAAAGGAACATTCTCAGATGGACCATGAACATACAAAAATGGATATATATTTAGAATATTTACTCTTTTTCAGTTAATTCAATAGAAAACAACTACTTTCCTGGCTATATGCCACGACGAACATTGAATTATATCTATTGAACACACACGATAAGAGTTTGAAAATAAAATATAAAAATTTCTGAAATTGAGAATTTGCATTCTCCTTCAGACAAAAATATGTATATATACACATCATTCTGAATATTCAACAGAAAACAACTACTTTCCTGGCTATTTGCCACGTCGAACATTGAATTATATCTGATGAATATTCAAAAGGGGAACATGAAAAATAAAGAATAAAATCCTCCGAAATTGAGAATTGACATTCTTCTTGAAATCGGATGAATAATATGATGAATAATGATCTAGAAATATGACTTACCAATATATTCAGCATTGAAATGAAAATTGGAATGTATAGGAGAAGTATACTTGCATGAACTCTGATCTTGATGAGCTTGGAAACGTCCAAAAAATAATCATTCATATCAGTGATATGGGAAATATTATCACTCACACACAGGTTATATGACTTTATGGTTACTGATGAGGATTCAGAGATCCGAAATGGGTTCATTGCAATAAAGTCATATAACCTGTGTGTGAGTGATAAAATTTCCCATATCACTGATATGAATGATTATTTTTTGGACGTTTCCAAGCTCATCAAGATCAGAGTTCATGCAAGTATACTTCTCCTATACATTCCAATTTTCATTTCAATGCTGAATATATTGGTAAGTCATATTTCTAGATCATTATTCATCATATTATTCATCCGATTTCAAGAAGAATGTCAATTCTCAATTTCGGAGGATTTTATTCTTTTATTCACGACTAATATATTATACTTGTGGTTTTTGAAGTATAATGCCATATATTAATCCCGCAGGGAATAAAGACTATTAATCCCTCGCCATTATTCCCTGCGGGATTAATATATGGCATTATACTTCAGAAACCACAAGTTTATATATTAGTCGCAAATAAAGTAGAGTATACTACTCGCAATAATGGCTATTATTCTCTCGGAATGTTACTCCCTCGCCGCTAACGCGGCTCGGTTCGTAAAAAATCCTCGAGAATAATAGCTATCATTATTGACTCGTGGTATAATCTACTATATTTTTCATGTTCCCCTTTTGAATATTCATCAGATATAATTCAATGTTCGACGTGGCAAATAGCCAGGAAAGTAGTTGTTTTCTGTTGAATATTCAGAATGATGTGTATATATACATATTTTTGTCTGAAGGAGAATGCAAATTCTCAATTTCAGAAATTTTTATATTTTATTTTCAAACTCTTATCGTGTGTGTTCAATAGATATAATTCAATGTTCGTCGTGGCATATAGCCAGGAAAGTAGTTGTTTTCTATTGAATTAACTGTAAAAGAGTAAATATTCTAAATATATATCCATTTTTGTATGTTCATGGTCCATCTGAGAATGTTCCTTTTTAAAACCCTATATTGCATTTGGAATTATTGTATCGCAGTTATTACAACTATAATTCCAGCGTACAGAATTTCAATTTTTTTGTCCCCCACCACACAGAATACAAAAACAAAACAATGACCTATTTATACGTTTTAGAGATTTAATGGATATAGGTTCGTATGATCCAAATCATATAAGTTGAAAGGATGAACATGAGTGTGACAACTACGACTAAAAGACGTCTCCAAGTCCGAGCGCTCTAACAGCCGTACATCTTTTTTCATAATAACGAAATTTACATGAGCTCGATAGGAAAGGACCCCGCACTAAACTATAGGGAAAATGGCTCTCGATGAAAATCGCTGAATTTTTGGTATGTTCCAGACTTTGATATACTGAACAGATCTTCCATTGAACTAACCTCAAAAAATGGACAGTTTTTCCGATATTGACCTCCAAATGTCAGTTTTTCGAGAAAAAAAAAGTATCTGAAAATGGTTGCATTTTTGGCATGTTGTAGATAGGAATGAACTGATGAAAAAATCCAATTGACCTAACCTCCAAAAATTGACAGTTTTCTCGATATTGACCTCCAAATGCAATTTTTTCAAGAAAAAAATCTCTGAAACTGGCTGAAATTCAAATGAACTAACCTCAAAAAAATGAAAGGTTTTGTTCACTGTCGCAAACCGTTTTCTCTTCAGATCTCTTACATATTGTAAATATTTATTATTGAAATTCATATTTAATATCATGAGAATTGTGGTACAACGCGTGATGACGTCATATACCGCGATCAATCCATTGGAATATTGGAATTATACTATACGATACGATTTATGTATTGTGTATACGTCAGTACACAACACTCCACTCCTACTGTGGAAATGAATCCTCAATTCTATGAAGAATTTGGAAATATTCTCATTGGTTGTTGAGCAAAAATCTTAAGTGTTTATCGGTATCGGTATGTCAATGTCACGTCATCGCCGGCTATATAGTGTTGCTGAGAGGTGATTATGAATGAATGAATCGAATACTTTCATAATAGATGGAATGATCAAAATAAAATAGATATATGGCATAAATTCGACTAGTGTGTATACCTACCCATTGATTTCGGAAAGACCTCGGGAAAGACTATATAACCATCTTTTAAATAATATTCAGTTCATTACATCCTCTCTTCGGTTTTCTTCACCTGTGGATGTATCATATGAAGAAGATTTGTTTTCAGAAGAATGAAACGCCAAATACTAATTCGAAAACAATAACTTTGTCTATTGATTATTGCTCCATTCATCTTATTTTCCATACGTACACTTGGAGGTCAATATCGAAAAACTGTCTTTTTTTGAGGTTAGGTCAATTGGATTCTTTCATCAGTTCATTCCTATCTACAACATACCTGAAATCCAGCCATTTTCAGAGATTTTTTTACTTGAAAAAATTCTATTTGGAGGTAAATATCGAGAAAACTGTCAATTTTTGGAGGTTAGGTCAATTGGATTTTTTCATCAGTTCATTCCTATCTACAACATGCCAAAATTCAACCATTTTCAGATACTTTCATTTTCTCAAAAAAATGACATTTGGAGGCGTTTATCGGAAAAACTGTCCATTTTTTGAGGTTCGTTCAATGGAATATCTGTTCATCAGTATATCAAAGTCTGCAACATACCAAAAATTCAGCGATTTTCATCGAGAGCCATTTTCCCTATAGTTTAATGCGGGGTCCTTTGATGCTCTTCCAATATGTGCATGATGCTCTGTCTCTGAGTAATACGTAAAATATTAATTATCTGAGAAAACCGACAAGAAACGCTATTTTTTGAAAAGTACCCAAATTTGGTCAATTTTCAACTGGCTCTATCTCTGCACCCTTCAGTCCAACATTCACGAGCAACAACAATTTTATCTAGTAAATTTCATCTTCTTCAACTTTTCATTGAACGGTCTTTTCGATATAATGTATGATTTTTGAGTTACGGGCAAAAAAACGAAGAAAGTCCGAAAATTTCGCTATTTTTTGCTAATATCTCGGAAAGCTCCTGTTTGCGAAATTCTGATTAGAATTCAGCACCTCTAATAACATATAAAACTACAGAGAAACCAACTACCTACTTGAATTTTTTCCCGGATTGGGTCCTAATCGTTACCGCTCTAGGAGACTGGGAAATTGACCAAAAGTCAACAGGAATATTCCGGTTCATTCTATATCTCTTCTAGTTAAATTACGTTTAACATGTTGCGATTCACGATAATGGTTAAAAACTTCTATAGTAGATATACAGTGTGACTAAGAAAACGTTGCCAAGCATGGTGATCTCGGAAACTGTCGAACATGAGAATTAGGTTTAACCATTTATCTATAGATCAGTATGAAACCAGCAGCGACTTCGCCAATTATTCCAGGCGCGCGCCATACCACCAATGGTCGTTTATTACAAATTGAAGACCACATGGGAAAATGGGGAAAGTCACAAATATCACAATATAGTGGAAATTGACTTGACATCACCACCTGATAGCCTAACCACTATATTTTAATATAAACAAAAGTCCATAGCAATAACGCAGCAGTCAGCTGATATGCTGGTTCGAAAATACGTTCACATGGAAAAAACGCGGAATGTCCACCTCAAAAATGTGAAGAAAGGGGAACGTCTAAGGTTAGTGCTATCTCGAATACAGATTCCATTGTGGTTTTAAGGAAATAGGGTAAAGTGTACCAAGAAATGTACACTATTTTCAAAATGTCAAGGAAATACAAATAAGTACATAGAACTAGGTATCTACTCAGGGATCTAATCAGTTTCTCCTAGGGATTTTTTGAGGGGGAAACAACTCTTTAAATAGTATCATTTTTGATACAATATGTATATATTTAACTCAATATTTAATAAGCTTTTAAGTTTTGTTTTAAATACTTCAGTATTTGAGTACCTGTTAACAGTACCTTAAGTACCAGTTTTAAGTATTTTGAATACTTTTCAATTGCCAGATATTTAAATATGGTGTACACCTCGGTGTACACATTTTGGGTAGTTGTTCCCCCTTGGGGATTTTTCACAGAGGATATCTTTTTATACCTAAGTGCACAAATGAGAACAAAGGACTGAGAAGAAATGGAAGAAATTAATGAGATGTGAAGGAAATTACATTTCTGAATACTATTTGGATTCAGTGAAAAAACATAATGCCATTCAGTATTATAAAAAGTGCTTCACCAAATTAATATCAATCTGAATCATAAACTGCAATAAACTACAGAGTCAACTATAGATTACTCTTTCCCAATTCTGATAGCTGAATTGACATTCAACCATTAATGTAGGTATTTGTTAACTCAATTATTGTTTACATGTTTACAAGTTAAGTAAGTAGAGATACAAATGATATTGATTGCACTTGAGATTGCACCTGGAATGGTAGTTTTCAAGTTATCAAATAACAGGAAACAACTTGACACTCACCTTGAATTGTTATTATGTGCAGTTTTAGCATTACCAAATGCTTCCAGGACAGGTCCAGCACTAAGTATAGTTTGTTCAACACCACTTCCATGTGAACCTTTTTGACTCAATGCTGTCAAATGATGCAACAAAAAATTTGTACTTTCAGTCTTTCCTGAACCACTTTCCCCACTAATAACTATACACTGGTTCTTCCTGTCCTTCAACATGCAGTGATAAGCAGTATCAGCAACTGCAAAAATGTGAGGGGGCAAATTTGGGCCCAGTCTCCTGTTCTGATACAGCTTAACATACTTGGGATTGTAAATTGGGTAGAATTTGAAGGGGTTCAAAGCAATAAGTATTGAGCCAACATAAGTATAGATATGTCCTGCTACAAACCTAGCTCTCAGGTTATCAAGTAGAGTTTGTTCATTCAAATCAGGAAGTTGGCACAAATCAGGATACTCTCTGTCTTTAGGTTGATATAAAAACCTGTGGAAATAGTCTTTGATTAGCTGAGGATCCATAACAAACTGATCCCTCCAAACTAAATCATTCACTTTCTCTCTCAAGTAGAATCTATAGGAAGTGTGGTCTGGCCTGGTCTTTGGCCACAGCATCATGAGTTGGACAGGACTCTCATGAGGTGATAGGCTCCTTTCCTTGCATTCTTGACCAAAATCATCTCCAATTACCTCAGCTAACTCATAAGAAGCATTGTCATTCAGTGACAACCGTTCTACAATGCAAGAAACTATTTCTTCTGAAGTTGTCTGTTTGCTAGCTTCCACTGAGAGAGCTTCATAGAGAGCTGATAGAGCGCCCACATACACCTGGACGATGTATCTATTATTCTCTGTACAGTGCATCATGTCTAGGTAATTAGCACTCCTCCACCTGGTATTTTGTATTTGAACATTTCTTCAGTGTATTGCACATCTCAGTTTGATTGATGACTATTCTAATTGTATTGAGCCTGAAAACCAAATATTTTCAAATTATTGACTTCAAAGTTTTTCATGTCAAGTGAGCAAATACTACAGACAAAAAAGAACTTCAAGTTAAGGGTGGTGAATAAGGGTTTGGAGGGCGACGGGCTAAACGTCAAATTAGGGTCACATGTTGCATGCAGTTCTTTCATTGGAACACTGAGGGACCATTTTCAAAAATTAGGTTGGGAACAAAGCATTTGTTGTCAGTATTTGATTGAAATAATTAATTTAACTAGACTACTGGCCACTTCCATGCATTGGCAACATTATTATAGCAGTCATAATAAACAACACACACAAGAAAAAGTCTAATAACGTTCTCTCCGCCCATCATGTATGGAATTGCACTTCACTTCACTCACCTCATTAGTAAATACACTACATTTTCAGACTTATTTGCGAATTCTGAATTACAACCTTCGGGGTTTTGTTCATTTTGAACTTGATTCTCAACTGACTAAGGGCCACTAACCACCATTTTTTATTTATCAAGTAGTCGACTTTGCAAAAGGAGGAGCCTCATCGTTGGTCGCGTATCAAGGCCAAGTCACGTGACCTGTCGTGCGCGCCAATTATGAATCATTCATATCCCGAGAAATTTAATAATTTTAAAATCATTGTTGAGTACGAGTACATAATAAAAGTATGACATATTTGAAATGAAACTAATAGGAAGGTATATTTCGAGGATTTTGAGCAGCTAGTGAGGTGGTACATACAGTATAGCTACAAATTCGCTATATCCAAGAATAATATCATGATGATATCAAGATTGTTGTCATTGATAGGTACCTAATCTAATTATATTAGTTAATTAGTCATTATGAATTGTATATTTACTTCTTATACCTAATCATTTGCAAATTCAAGACTTTTACCGGAATAATGATCATTACCGGAATGAACGATACCGATACGAACTTGGCAACCGAAATGAAGCTGCACAAATAACGGAACCAGCCGAACAACCATTGGCGTACGATTTCGGAGGGATAGGATAACGTTTTGAGTCTTAGCGGCCTAAGTCAACAGTGACAACACAAACTCTACCTGAAATCTTTTTGTGCTACATCAGAGTAGCAATACTAAGTGCTGTGGCTCGTGGCTAATGGTCATTCGGCGCTTTCCGGAATTTTGGCTACTCACTTTCGGCAGCCACGTTCACACTAGTATGAACATCTGTGTACGACCAATCAGAATGATTATAGTTAAGGTGGCGGTAAATTCTAATTTGTTAGTAATTATTTAATAATGGACAGAGTAAACAACACAATATTTTGTTCCAAAGAGTCGCATAGAAGATCAGTGCTATAATATTGTCTGCTCATTGAAATGAAAAATGAAGAAAATAATATGTAACAAATATGTAAGTAGTTCAGAGACATCTACGTGAACTAAGTAAACTCCTCGCACTAGGTCGCCTACTAGGTTTTTATTTAGATGGACGGGGAGTGTATCTCTGGATGGACCATAGATCTCGACGTACTGACTATGTACTGACTATACTATAGGTGATCTGCGGAACCCAAATCAAATAATTCTCCCCAACATTTTGCTTTTTTTAATTTGACCTGACCAGACTTAATGTTTTAATTGGTTTATGCTTTGGGCTCATCCATTCATTAGTAGTGCCATCATGGTAGCATAGATCTAACATAGATCTAATTAGATCTATGATGGTAGTGACCAAGAAAAAATTGAGGGAGGGTTCAAATATCAGATGACTGAATAACTATATAACTATATTTATTATTTACAACAGTCAATGATCACAGATATGTTCTTCATTCTCATTCCAAGGACTTAGGAACATTTATTACAATATTTCACCTCTCATGGCTTGCATTTTGTCATCACCTAATTCTTTGTCTTCAGGAATATCAGTTTTTTTCAGTTCCGCCCCATCTTTCAATATATTCAATTTCGAATTTTTAGAAATTGGTTCAATTTTCACAACTACTGGGTCAGATAGATTTCCTACATCAGTTTTTCTGCCAGTCTTCCCCAGATTCAGAAACAAAGGCGCCAAATTTTCACCAGTGTTGTTTGCGGTATCTTTCACTGGGATAAGTAAATTTCCATTTTGTGGTGGTTGGTGATCAATGGATATTTCATCATGTGCTACTTGGTGAACTTCATTTAAATCATGATTATAACTTTCAAGGTTCACATCATCAGTTTTTGGTTGCTCTGCTTTTACCTCAGCTTTCACCACAGTTTTGGTGTCCGGTTTTATTGAGTTTGGATTAGAATTCAAATTAATGTTTGATAATTTTCTTATGTCACTATTTTGTGGGGTGATTTTATTGTTCCCAATTTTTAGTGGTTTTGGAATATGTTCCACTTCCATATTTGACCTATTATTTAGCACTTCAATATATTTTTCCATTTGTTTCAAGTTTTGCTGACTTACTTCTTCTAAATTCTGTACTGGATGCTTTTCTTCTGGTAATTTCATCTCATTTTCCTTTATGTTCTTTTCTAATTCTCTCATGACCTTCTTACTATCTTCACCTTCACTGATTTTTTCAATAGCTTGTAGAGCAATACTTTCAATCTTCTTCACAGCCTTCAACTTTTCCTCAGCTATGACAACTTTTTCATTTTCTTCCTTTTTTTGTTGATTTTGTATGACCTCTATGAGTTTTTTCTGCTGTTCCACAATCTCCTTTTGAACCTCATTTTGTTTTTGTATGGTGTCAATCAGTATTTGGTGTGCATTATTGTCATCATTCACAGATTCATTCTCTTGCATCAGTTCTTCTTTGTCTTCCTTCTTGATTGCTTCTATGTCTACTTCCTCATTCTTTGTTTCATTCTGTAATGGATTCATATTATTATGAACTGTTTTCTGTTTTGCTAGTTCTTTTTTCAAAATTTCCTCCACTGGTTCTATTGGCTGTGGAGGTTCATGTCTAATTTCCTTTATTTCACTTTGTTCCATATCCTTAACCAACATGTCAGTCTTCATCTCTACTCTAACTGTAGTAGGTAACTTTACAAGGATAGTCCCAATGTTCACCAAACTTTGGTCCATTGCAATCTGCTTAGTAGCTATTGATGTGGGTTTCCAAGTGTCATCAGCATGCAAGTTTTTGTATGTACCAAGAACCATGAATATTATTCCTACCATAAGCATAAATTGAGCTAGTAATCTTTCATTAGTATTTTTTGGTGAGATACAGATGAAACAAGTGACAGGAAAGAGTACACATATCATTATCCCAATAGTTGATCCAACTAGGCCAAGAACTAGTTCAATGTTTGGTATCATAATGCCAATGATAAGTGAAACAAATATTATTACCACAGTTAAGACTCTAAACCTTCCTTCTGGGATATAGTCTGAGACACCATCATGCAGTGAATATCCTGTTTTGTACAGCAAAGAATATAAACTTGCCCTACAGGGGAATATAACTAGTGGAAAGCTGAATGCAACTGAGAGAATGAATCCAATTTTCATGATGTCAGTCATAATTGAAGGGGAGAAGCTCAGGAGGATATTTCCTAAAAATGGTTTACTAGAAAATGCAATACATCCAAAAATTCCTACACAAATATAGACCATTGTACAAATATTTACAGCAATCTTAACCAGATTGTTCATTTTGTCTAATGTAGCATTTTGAACAGCATGGTATATCTCAAACAACTGAGACTGACAAAATAAAGCCATTGAAAATATTGGTAAACACTGGAGAATCCCTTCAGGTCTCCATAGATTAGTATTAGGATACCAGTCACCACTGAAGAGGTGAGGCATAGCTTCGAATACCACTTTCAGCACTAAACAACAGTAAAATCCAATGGTAGCTCTGGAAACACCATTCAAACTATCTACATTTCTGAGTAAACCAAGAGGTAATACTACAAACATTGCCAGAGCAACAAGTATGCTTGTACGTAGAGTATTGGTTGTGTGAGTACTAGTTATTTCTGCTATAATCTCTGGTGCTAAGTCACCCATGACTACGAAAAATGCAATGCAAGTCCCAAGGAGAAATCCAATCATTCCGATTTCTACAGCTAGCTTCCCCATACTTCCGAAAATGTGAAATGCGAGGAACTCATATGTTTTTCTTCTTGAGGTTATAGCTGACTTTAGCAGAAAGTGGCAAGCCAGCCTAGATATAATACTACTGATGAGCAACATTAGTACTGATAAAATTATTCCACATTGTTTGAAGCAATATGGCATTGCTAGTACGCTCACTCCTATGATGCTGTTTGCTAGGTTCATCACATGACCATTTGAATTATCCATCCTGATTAGCTCTTGTCCAACAAAACTATTGAATACGATTATTTCTACATTATTCATTCATTTTCAAATCTTCTTGTATCAGTTGTTTCTTAACCATACTTTTATTTTATTTTATTTTTGTAACATTTCACATTTCACATTTCACAGATCACAGTGTCACAGTGACACAGTAACAGAACTGACAGATTACAGTACAAGAAACATTACCCTTTTGACATTTGTCATGTCAGCTTCTAGACAGGACGCAACAAATGAAACCGCATGGTGGGGGACCGTTACAGCGCGAGTCGCGGGACAAACAGTGATTCATTGATTGGCAGTTGATTTTTTTGATAAATAAAAAAATAGGTACATCAAAACGTGCACTTTTATTGAAAAGGAATATTCTCAGATATAATTATGAACATAAAAGAATGGATACATATATATAAAAATGTACATTAAGAATTCGCATTATCTATATGTGATGGAAATATTAATTCTTTCTCGGTTTATTCAAAAGAAAACAACTACTTTCCTGGCTATATGCCACGACGAATATTGAAATATATCTATTGAGCACACACGATAAGAATTTGAAAACAAAATCTTCTGAAGTAGAGAATTTGCATTTTCCTTATTCATACTTATATAAAAATATGCACATAATATCATTCTGAATGTTCAATAGAAAACAACTACTTTACTGGCTATTTGCCATGCAGGTCGAACATTGAATAATATCTGTTGAACATTCAAAAAGAGAGCATGAAAAATTAATTTCCTCTGAAATTGAGAATTGACATTATTATAAACAAAACAGTAAAATAAAATGTCAACTATATCGCCTTAAACGGATATATAAAATAAATGAATAGTAGATTGTTTTATTAGGATCAAAAGTGACACTTTATTGTTTGACAAGCGAATTTTGCATTTGCGAGGCGAAGCGTTTAGCGAAGCCGAGCGAAAGCAAAATTTGCGAGTCGAACAAAGTCACTATTGATCCGAATGAAACATGCTATTTTTTCTGCAACCGAAACAATTAACTCAAATAAACATGTGAAGTAACCACCAATGCCGTGCCATATGTATGCAATGCATCAAATATTGACAAATAATCCATGTGGTGAGAATATTCTACCTGCATTAACAGCAGGTTAGGTTTTCTAGGATGTTCGAATTGTAGTTTCAATATAAATACAACCACAGAGTGACATATTTGTGTATGGACCAGGTGCTCTAATGGCAAAAATACCGCGCCAGTGCCAGCTATAGGAACAAGACGTGGAAAATGTTAGGTTAGTGAGCATATCAACAATGATAATAGTGATTATTTATTCCTCTTCATACTACACTGTGTTTGACTTGATAATCAAATGGAGCTATACAATATCGTTGTTTGAGACAAAAAAACTATTGCTTGCCGTGATTATTCAAAAACAAGTTATCCATCCCGAGATTAACGAATGAAATACAGATCAAGCAAGTATTTGAATCTTGAAGGCTTCCCTGATCAAAACAAAAATACTTAACTGAGATGTTTATAATTCCAATACTAAACTATAATAAGGTGTATTTATATCTCCAGCATGGGTATGAAATGCCAAATCTGCTGAAATCGGAAACAAATCAGGTATGCGTCTCAACCCAAATAACCAACCATCACATGCAATGTTGTTTATTCTTGATGACGTCCAGTAGATCCTTTTTAGTTCCTAGGAGCTAAAGTTCAACTTTAGCTCCTATATAGGAACTAAAATTCAACTTTAGCTCCTAGGAACTAAATATGTTACCTAGCAACATACCTATTTTTGTGTCAGTAATAGAAACGTCAATTTAAGAGCTATATTTGGTATCAAAATGGACGACTTTTGTGTCGGTTGCAGAAAAAAGTATTCATTCCTCTTCAAACAAAATCGAAACTGAACTACTGAACATGTATTAACTAATTCTAATCTGGGTCGATATCTAATCAATGAACTAAAAATATCTAATTGAAGAACATTTTCTATGGTATCAAGGTTGGTAGAACTGATGATTATTTTAATTATAATCAGTTCTACCAACCTTGTATGGTATTAGAGCAAGAGCCCTCTACCCATACCTAACACAACTTGCTTTGCAGTACTGAAACGACACCACGATTCTCCGATCAAAAAGGAAGCTCGAACTGTTATTACATAGATGTCGCTGGCTTCACGTCAGCTCCGACCCCATAATACTTACGAATGCTTATGATAAAAAATATGTTTTTTGGTGCTGAAATATACTACTTTTTTTTCTTGTATAATAAATAACTATTTAGAATTTTGATTAATTACACACCATATTGCTGTCATTTTGCTCCGCCGCCGCTATGAAATCCCGCTATGCATAGCGGAATTCGGATACGGTTTGCAACACTGCTGTCTATGTATGTATTCTCCTAGAGATAGAAAAAGTATATAATTATATGCATTCAATGTCTGTAATCTTATCAAACATTTCATTATCAAATTGATTGCTTTTGAGTCATAGCTCAGGGGAGTCGTTAATCTCTGCTCATGGTCTATGAAGAAGTCATTTGAAATTTTGACGATACTAGCGCATCTTCAGGATTTTATATCAACTGAAACTTCAACTCCGAAGATCCCTGTTTAGCCGCACGATCATCTTGACAGATTTACTCTTGTTCAACAGATTCCGCCACCTGTTCCAACAGTTATAAAAATAGTTGAACGTCGCGACGCTTTACGTCTCCAGTTTATGGCAAATGGCAAAGGGGGCAATATCAATGCCGTGAAAAGTATATTTAACCACCCTAGTTGCGTTTGCATAAATCGTGATTAGTTTCATTCGGGAGTTTACCTTTCGGTCGTATTTGCTCCTAAGATAATCCGGCGGTATATAGAAGACATTTGCTTTAAAATCTGGGAGGTCTGTTTTCCATAGCATAATAATTCTATGTGCTCAGGTGATATTTGACAGCTAAGTGTGTGGTAAATTGACGAAAATGCCTGTTAGGAAACAGGGTGAGTACCTTGTTGTGGTTTTATTGATTATCGTTTCTCTGTACAATCATACAGAGTATATATATCAGAATAATTATGTCATTCATTCTTGAGGCGAGCAGAGAATTTCATTTGTCAATACCTACTAACACTAGCTGAATGTTCTGAATCAGATTATCAGATGTAATATCCCTCGGTCCTCGGTCCCTTGTTCCCACGTGTTATTTTGGTAGTGGGGATAATGGCATAGGACCACAGTAAAGTTTAGGATATAGGGTAATCATTAGGGGTTGCTACTAGAACAGAACTGTGGTACTTGGTCACCTAGAGATATCTATATTACTACTATATTACAGAAAATTACCTTCAGATTGGGTATAGTTGGGTACATACAATGACATAGAGAGGTCCGTTTATCCTCCTGAGATTCTCCATAAATTGCACAAAACGGCTCGCTCGTACGATTTGATAGAAAATTTCATGAACGACTCTGTGGCATCGAAAAGGTCTTATGAATTAGAGAATTATTTGAAAAGCGGTTTTGAAAAAAAAAGTATGACTATTAAGATGGACACTAGATTGTAATGACGGCAAAATTTCTATAATATTCGAAGATAATTATTCAAATTCATTAGGCTTTATTAGGACCATAGATTAAACAAACAATTAGGACATAATACAATTTTCAATTTGTATCAAAACTAACAAAAAACATTTCATGTCTAGGTACACATGAAATTCAAAAAAACAGTGTGTTCGGCCGTGATTCATAGAAATACTTGGCATGTCTGGCAGAAAAACTTTGTTTTTGTATGGCTATAACACAAAACTGCTCTTGTTATACGACGCTATACATAGTGGAGTATACTACGGCCTTGCCAAAAATGCTATCTCGGAAACTAAGCGAGATAGAGGTATAGTTACTTTGGAGAAAATGATCCCCATCGAATTTTGAGCAACTTTGGTTTTTGTGTGTGGTCTGTCTGTCTGTCTGTACTCTGTGGTAATCATAAATCGATATATCTCCGGAACCCTTTGACAAATCGACTTGAAATTTTGCCATCTTATTGTACTCAAAACAATATTATGTCATTAAAATATGAAGGAAATCGGAAAACTCTAAGGTGGTTTTTCCGGGTTTTTTCGATTTTTCACCGAAAGTTTCTTGCTCGGTTTCTTGCGACCACTCTACAAATCGCAAAAGTGGTCCGATCGATTTCATTTTTGTGAAAAAAAAACTCTATCAGGAAGAGACGAAGCCTATTGAAATTGAGCAGGGTCGGGAAATTCCAAGTGGGTTTTTCAAGGAGATTTTCTGAAAAACACGGTTCGCTTTGAAACGACATATCTCCTGAACCAATAGACTAAATCAAATTTGAAAAATGCACCGTATGCCTCTTTGATAAAGCAACAAATTATTATTCAACCATTTTTTCGTGCATCCATCGGAAAATGGAAAAACAAATGAAAATCAAAACATCAAAATTTGAAATCCTTTCAATTCAATATATTATATCGAAAACAAATGGAAAAATCGAAAATTATCAAAAGAGCAAAGTTATCCACTGGAACATTTCCTACACATCATTTCTCATATTTTTTTCTGTTAACCCAATAGTACAGGAAATACCATGAAGTACCATGAAGATATATTGAAAAACAAAGATTATCGATAGATGAAGCTCATCGACTTCCACTGAACCATGAAATATCTTTTCATTTTGTTGATTGGAAGATGGAACAAAAGTGATGAAAATTTTATTCTCAGATAATTCCAAATATCTCGAAAACAACTGAAAATATCTGAAAATGTTATGGAACCAAAATTATTCCTTTTGATAGAATCTATAAAAAATCCGAATAACATTTTGCTCTGAATTCAATAGTTCGGGAGATATGATGAAAAAACTAAAAAATTTACAAGTTCCTAGATGATCACTTGCCAATAGAAAACAAAACAAAGAACAAAAGAAAGTAAAAAAAGCACACTCGACTGTCTTGTTTTTTTCCCACGAATTACGTACCAAGCTCACTCGACTGTCTTGAATTTTTCCCACAAACAACGTACCTAGCTCACTCGACTGTCTTGATTTCCCACAAAGAAGAAATATGTTGGCATTGTTTCA